GCCAGTTATAACGTCGTTATGTTACGAGTTAGCGACGCCTTATACTAATAAAGATTGTTAATAATCTCACTGCTGAAGTGTGATTGGGAATTAATTCCATCATTCGGCTCATTTTGGCTACGATTAATCTGAACATTTTGGTGAAATTAAGCTATTGGCTTCAGAATTTTTTTAAATTTTTTTATTACTTAAATCAAATGATATTTTTATGGTTGACAAAAATTATCACCATCATCATCATGGCAGCCATAATTCCACTTAAAAATTATATATAAATGCAGAATATATGTTTTTATTAATATTTTTAAGGATACCGTGTAATGGCGGTGTAAGAATACCCACTCGTAGGTGTCATAAAAAGCAACAGAAGAAACAAGAATTCAAACATGAAAAAATATACGACTATTCAGGCCAAGCTAAATATTCTGGGAAGGTAACAACTGTCGTGACAGAACTTCCATGTCTAATTAAAACGGACAAAAATCCATAGCAAATTGACGAAACTATCAAGTGTTGCCAAATCGAGCATTATTTGGCAACTTTCCAAAATAATTACCTCACGTAAACCATTCGTCCACTCGCCGAGGACAGCGTGCTAAGAGTAGTGAATTGTTAATGTGGATGCGGCGTCTTATTTTTTAAACGTACCATAAACAATCACGCCTGTCACCCAGAGTGGTAGACAGGGACATCAATTTGACATGATCCTAACATACCTCTCTCGCTTTCTTTACCTATACCAACGCATACACATGCTCGTTGATTAAGAGTACTCTTAATTTGGCCCATCTTTAATATATCGCCAATTTAGTCGATGAACTTTCGTCTAGGGCGTCCCTTGCTGATGTTACCGTTCACTTCTGCAACATAAATTGCTTGTTATGATGTTAAGTGTTTAACAACAAAAACTAAACCAGCCAAGTGCGAGTCGGACTCGCGCACCGAGGGTTCCGAACAAATCCGTAAAATTTATGCTTTTCGCAATTTTTCCTTTATCTGTGCTATAATACGTTGCTTCGTACTAAATTTTAAGATTCTGAGTTCACGGGAAGTACCCTGTAGGTTTTGATTTCCTTGCGAATGGCGAAAATTTGCGGCATAAACGGCTGTATCTTTTGATTGCGTTGGCTTAGAATTTTGATTTTTTCACAGCTCCAAGGGACAGTAGACTTGAATATTTGATATGAATTTCAGCTTGATACCTCTACGCGTTCCTGATAAAAAGGGTCTTGACAGACAGACAGACAGACGGACAACAAAGTGATCCTATAAGGGTTCCGTTTTTTTCCTTTTGAGGTACGGAACCCTAAAATAGCTTCGATAATGCTAAGGTGTCGATCAGAGCCTGTCATTAGTCTTGATAATTTAAGTCTGATGAATTCTCAATATTATTGGGCCATCCGCAGGTGTTACCGGTGTTTTCGCTTTTTGATTTCATAACTCTGCCAACGCGTCTTTCTTATATTTTTTCACGTCAAAATATATCACTGATACAGAAAAACAATATAATTTGTAAGCAATCAACTTCAGAGAGCGTTTTTTATCCATTTTTAAAATGTATCTATGTAAGCAATAAGCTTCCCATGCGGCTGTTGTATCAAATATTCATTATCTCATCATAAAGGGTATTTGGAAAGCGAATTCGGGCGCCAGAACCAAGTAATTTGACAGCGATGTACGGACAAATTGAATGCTTCTACAACAATATCGAATAACATCGTTAGTGCCTTCATTAGTAAAAAAATCCACAAAAATATACATTTTAATTGCAAAAAAAAATTGAACTGAAAAAAGGACAAACCAGCATGAATACTTGCGAATTTACTATATAAGTAGGGATTGATAAATATTTCACCTTCTTCTAAGATTACTATAAGACTAGCGACCCACCCCGGCTTCACCTGGGTAGGATCTATTAATACGCTGTTATTTAGATATGAAATAATCATCAAATACTTACTATTTATTTTATTATATCTTTAATTACACCAAAAAATTCTAGTAATTAACTACAAATAATTGCCTACAAATAACTGTTCCAGGTCTGGATGTTTGTCCTCGTGATATCTATGTTTGTAAACTGCCTCCACGATACAGGAGAAAATCCTAGTGTGGGGGTAACGTTTGTAAATAAATAAAAAAAAAAAAAAGATTTTTTATAATAAGTAGAATGTTTAAAAATAATTTATTTGATTTCTTATATTTCCTCGAATGCGGCTATACACATTGAATAAAAATATTGTTACGCTTAGTCTTACGCGATGAAATCCATCGCGTTTAATTTTACTTGTTTTTAGTCCCTCTTCCCTCCTATGACTATGAGTGCTGCAAAGTAAAACTAGTTTACTTCAAGAATCTCTTTGATTTTGCTTGTTTCTCTATGGCTCGGTATTATCAAAAATTATATGACGACAAAAAGTCAAATGTTAGTAAATCTGTAAAAACGAATGGACCTTAAAAAATGTGGAATATTTTATTTTTTATAAATAGGAAATTGGCGAAATAAGCCACAATAAATTGTGCCATTTATGAACCTAATTGATTCTAACGTTTTCAGTATGGAGATTTTTACATTAAAATATACAGCTCTGATCGCCTTATCCAAATAAAGTCTATGCCATATATGTTTTTTTTAATTACTGTCATTTATCTCATCATTCATCATTATCATCATTACAGCCCTTCGCTGTCTATTGCTGAACATAGGCCTCCCCCAAGGAATGCCACAAAGGACGGTCCTGAGACACCTGCATCCATCGACTTTCTGCATGTCTTACCAGGTCGTCACTCCATCTAGTGAGGCGTCGCCCTACACTTCACCTACCGGTACGTGGCTGCCAATCGAGAAACTTTTTCCCACATCGGTTGTCGGTTTGAGCTTCGAGCTATATGGCCGGCAATGTCGGTCCCTTTGGTTCTACTGCGGATATCCTCATTTCTAAGTTTATCACGCAGAGAAATCCCAATCATACCCCTCTCCATAGCTCGCTGAACGATCTTAAGCTTCCTCATACGGCTAGCAGTGAAGGACCACGTCTCTGTTCCATAAGTCATTACTGGTCGTACAGTCTCGTTTTTAAGTTTTGAAGTACATTTTACTGACAAGAAGATGTGTCGTTATTTCCGGAACACTGCTCAGCCGAGTTGAATCCGACGATTGACCACTCGGTCGAAGTTGGACTTACCTAGTCCCAGTTTTTCCCAGGTAAACATACTCGTCAACAATTTCGAGCTTAGTGCTCCCTACAACTATCGGCATATGTGCGACAGAGACGTTATACATGCTCTTTGTTTTGTCCATTTTCATTTTAAGACCTATACCTTGGGAGGCACTACTGAGGTTATTGAACATAGTGCTTAGGTCGTCCAATGATTTTGCCAGCGACTATATTGTCGGCAAATCGAAGGTGATTGAAAACATCTTTCAAGGATATAACGTCACGCTGTCTTTTACCTAGATGGATAGGTTTCGTACTCTAGTTCTGTACTCGAATAGCCATCGTAGCCCTACTGAACAAATACCTCAGCTCTTCGATATACCGACGGTCAACTTGGAACCGCTGAAGGGACTGCAGCACCGTCCAAATTTCGACGGAATCAAAGGCTTTCTCATAGTCCACATACGCAAGACATAGTGGCAAATTGTACTCCTCGGACATCTGTACAATTTGCCGAAGAATATGATGTATGTAAATATGATGTCTATGATGCTAAAGCCTTTTCGAAAACCGGCTTGTTCGGAAGGCTAGGAAATCGGTCTCTAGTTCTTCAAAAGAACTTTGTCGCCTTTCTTTAGTAACAAGACTACCGATATTCTGCTCCACACCTCCGGTATAGTGCCATCATGGAGGACGGAATTGAAGATCATCTAAAGGTCTTCAAGTACCGGTGGTTCGGCTAGTTTAATAAGCAGCCGAAATTTCTTTGTTTATTTTGCTCTGAATACTCGCAACTGTTACACCAATGTTACTTTGGTTTGGATGTCCGTGTATTTCGCGGGTCGATGGGATTCTTGCGTACTATTGGTCCGTTAAAATTACGGACATCTTCCCGTCACGTGATCACATACTGTCAACGCCGCGCGTCGTGAGAAATGGCACGTTTTTTCGCTGCTCCCTAATATATGTTCCGCCGCAAGTTATTCCTAGAATTGGATAATCGTGAGTGACCGAAATCCGTGTAGCTGGGATCCCCGAAGAAGCGCACGAGAGCAGGACCATCCGCCTTCGTATATTCAGGTACGTCCGACCTTAGTAATATTGTCTAGTTAACGGTATCGAGTAGAATCAGCCAGCGTCTATGCAAATTACAGTCCATTTACCATTTTCAACCAAAAATTGGTCCATCTCCCCGGATGACATTCGGATTGGAACTATTAAATAGGTAAATCCGATTGTGATTCGACTCTTCGACGTAATTGATACTGAACCTTATTGTGGCATACTTGGGTTGATGTCGACTATTTATACTGTTAGTTGTCGACTTGTAAATACTACTTAATATTGATGTATTTTCCGCATCGCATACAGCCGTTTACAAGATCGATTTTATATGTTTATTACTAAGAAACATTCTTATTAATCGCATCGACTTTTAGACAGCTGTCGCATTTAATTTACTTAATCGCATTTAATATTATTATCATATCGCTCCGTAAATATTTAAATCGGTTCGATTTAATTTACCTAGTGGGTAGAAATAACCGCCGCGCCTCGCCGCCAGCCATTGTGCAGTTTATCTAAGTACCGTATCGCACCTTTTTCTTAGTTTGGTACATATGCAGCGCATGACATATATTAAAACTGATTTGAATTTCTAGTGGAGTTCGCAAACTTTGTATACTATAAATACAGTTAAATTACTTAAATACTTATTAACTAACCTGCTCATTTATATTTCTTCAATCACGCATGAAAATTTATTTACATTTAATTCGTAAAAACAAGGATAATTTACTCACTTTGGGGTAATATAATCGTGTTCTAATAAATATATTTACAATGACGGAAAAGGGTGCAGGAAAAGATAGACGCCTTATGCAAATTAAATTGTTAGAAGCTAAGCGTCAATTGTATTTCTCTCAAATAAATAAGACTTTTCAACTATCATCGAAAACAGATGAAAAATCACGGCATAATTTCTTATCACAAGCTCGCGCCGTCGATCAATTACGTAAAGAGTTTGTAACTTTGGTTGATGATATAAATTTATTAAATTTGGAAGTATATCCCGATTATAGTATTAATTACCAGCCGTTATCAGCTTTTGACGACTTATATTATTTTATTAAGGATATCCTGAATAGTATGGAGAGACCAAACCCACAATCGCAAGCCGTCACACATGCAATTAATCAGGAACATACTATTAAGATTCCTCGTATTGAATTGCCTATTTTCGATGGTGAGTTACAAAACTTTCCTTATTTTTACGAAACGTTTAAACGTGTTATACACGAAAATAAAACGTTAACGGATTCGGAACGTATTCACTATTTAATGAGCCACCTTTCCGGAAAAGCAAAACATATATGTGCTGGTATAATCCCGGCGGCAGATAATTACGTAATTATTTGGCAAACTTTACAAGACAAATACAAGGATAACAGAGCTTTAGCTACGACATATCTAAATCAGTTATTTGCATTAAAGAATATTAACGGTCCCTCTGCAATAAATTTAGAAAATTTGGTAGATAAATACGCGGCCACGATCGCAGCACTCAAACAACTTAATATAGATAATTTAAGTGACTTTATTTTTGTTTACATGGGCCTAAAGCTTGTAGATTCCGATACTGCGAAGTGTTTCGAAACAACAGTTCGTAGTCAAACGGACATGCCTAAATACGACGAGTTTGTTAAGTTCTTACGAGAACAGGTAAAAATTTTGTATCGAACCAGCACTTCATCACAAACTCGTGGCAGTTCCATGGCACCGCATCCCAACTCTGGTAGTCGCCCATCTAGCTCACGGGCTTTAACCGTGCCGCCACGCGTCTTAGTCTCCACGCAGCAGACCCAAGGTCGTACTAGGCCATGTAAGCTTTGCAACAACACGGCGCATACGCATCTCTATGCATGTAAACCCTTTGCTAACCTTTCGGCTGCCGACAAATTTAAATTCGTTAAGGACAATCGTTACTGCGTTAATTGTTTGAGTAACCAACATACCTCTTTTTATTGCAACTCAAACACTTCTTGTCGCAAGTGTAATGCCAGGCATCACACGTTGCTTCATTTTGGAAATGAACCATTTGCGGCGCAGTCTTGCACCGCCACTGTAGCCGTGAACGAGGAACATGATACTAGTGAAATACTGAGCTCACTAGAACTTGAAGAAGAGTCCTCCTCCGATCAAGTGCGTGACGGTTATTTGGTTGGAGAAGGAAATCCAGAAGTGTCGTATTGCTCGTTGTCTTCTACAAAATGCGATTCATCATCAACAACGCAAGTTCTCGCAACCGCAAAGGTTTATGCCACCGGTCGCGATGGTCGCGATGTAATAGTTAGATGTTTACTGGATCCTGGTTCCCAGAAACATTATATAACAACAAAATGTTGTTCAAAACTACAGCTAAAGGTCGAATCTAATTCGCCTGTAACGGTGAAGGGAATAGGTGGCTCATCACAGATAGTCAAGGGGGCGGCAAATATTTCTTTTCGATCTCGATTCAATAATACAAAATTTAATATTCAGGCTCTAGTGTTAAATCGAATCACTAGTAATATACCAACGTGTAATATCGATACTAGATTCCTTGAAAATCTACGTAGTATTCCCATGGCGGACGATGGCTGGGGTATGCCAGGAGAAATAGATTTATTAATCGGTGTTAGTCTTTTTGCAGAGATGCTACGACCTGGTAAAATTATCGGGGAACCCGGTTCTCCGGATGCGCTTGAGACCGTTTTAGGATACATCGTTCTAGGAGATGCTCCAGCGGTTATCCAGGCTCAAGCCCCAGCAGTCGTAGCTTTTCATGCTATTTCAACATCTGAGGTCGAGACTCTAGTTAGGAAAATGTGGGAACTCGACGAAATTGATCCTAAGCATATCTTTAGTGCTGATGATAAAATATGCGAAGAAAATTATAGCAAGACTGTCACGCGTGCTACTTCCGGACGCTACGAAGTAGCATTACCTTTCAAATTCAGTCCAGATCTTCTTGGTAATTCTTTGGAAGTTGCTGGGCGTAGATTTTTGCATTTAGAGCGTAGGTTTACTGCTCAGCCCGCTCTAAGAGAGGCGTACGATAGTGTAATCAAGGATTATATATATCAAGGTTATTTGTCTCCTATTGATACAGCCGATAAAGATCCTCTGCACTTTTACATGCCCCACCACGCTGTTCTTAGGGAAGATAAATTATCGACACGGATTCGACCTGTCCTGGATGCAAGTGCTAAGTCTAGTAGCGGATTTTCTTTAAATGATCTTTTATATGCCGGTCCCAATCTTCAACGCGACCTTTTTACAATCCTAATGAATATGAGACTATTACCTGTTGCCATCACAGCTGACGTGAGGCAGATGTATCTTAGGATAGGCGTCCGTAAGCAGGATCGACGTTTTCAGCGTATCTTATATCGCTTCAGTCGGAATGACAATTTAGGAGGTGGTTCAGATATTCAAATTCCAATAAAATCATTAGAATTCAATAGAGTAGCCTTTGGACTAAAGTGTAGCCCATTTTTAGCTCTTCGCACTGTCTCGCAACTAGTACAGGATGAGGGTCACCGTTTTCCTATAGGTAAAGAAGTCGTGCAGAGAGATCTTTACATGGACGATATAGCTAGCTCACTGATGAATTCCGATCGAGCTATTTCTGCCTTTCAAGAGTTAATCGGGCTATTTAAGGCTGGGGGCTTCGATCTAGTCAAATGGAGTAGCAATAGCACAAGGGTACTTGAATATATTCCTGAAGATTATCGCTTGTCGCAAAATGTCGAATTTCACAAGGACGATACCTTGAAAATATTAGGTCTTTACTGGCGTCCTCATGATGATGAGTTCGCCTTCAAGGTAATTTCAGATGATCGCCCTTGCACTAAGAGAAACATTTTGTCCTCTGTCGCACGTTTGTTTGATGTTTTGGGCCTGGTAGCACCTGTAATTTTGTATGCCAAGCTTTTAATCAAGGAGCTTTGGATTGCTAAAATAGACTGGGACGCTGATCCCCCACAACGAATTACACGACTGTGGAATGAATTCCGACGGGAACTTCCCCTGCTTGCCCAGATGAAATTTCCTCGGCACCTTGGAGTGGTTCATGGCTGTTCGGTAACAATTCTGGGTTTCGCTGACGCGAGTGAAAAGGCTTATGGCGCCGCAGTTTATATTCGAGTAGACGTCAAACAAATTCAGACAACTGTCATTTTGTCATGCGCAAAGTCAAAGGTTGCGCCCTTGAAGGTTGTTTCATTAGCACGTCTGGAATTATGTGCAGCCTTGTTGCTTTCTAAATTAATAAAAAAGGTTTTTGAAATATATTCGAGTAGATACCCAATTGATTCGGTGTTAGCATTTTCAGACTCGACCGTAGTGTTAAATTGGATTCACTCTTCTCCGCACCGATGGCACACGTTTGTTGCCAATAGAGTCTCCAAAATCCAGGACAACTTACCATCGGATCACTTTTACCACATCAAGGGTAACGAAAACCCGTGCGATTGTTTGTCCCGTGGATTAACTCCTACACAACTTATGAATCACCCCCTGTGGCTACAGGGGCCTCCTTGGGCCCATTTACAAAAAACCGAATGGCCAATAAAAACATTTGTGCCAAAGGAATCTTCCGACGCGCCGGAGCTTAAGTCTATTTCCCTAGTAATAATAAAACCAATCGAAGAACCTTTTCTTTATAAGCTAGCACGTAATTACTCTTCGTGGCAACGGTTCCTTAACGTGGCAAGCTACATATACAAGTTTATAAGGAAGCTACCTCTGGGACCCATAGTTGAGTCAGATTTGGAATTTACGGAATTAGAAATTATGAAGGTAATACAGTCAATACATTTTAGTGATGACCTTCAACGTTTAGAGAAAGGGGGATGTCGTTCTCCATCTATTAAAAAATTAAACCCATTTCTTAAGGATGGCGTATTACGCGTAGGTGGCCGTTTGGCAAACTCAGAGGAGAGTTTTGATTTTAAACATCCTATTCTCCTTCCTTGTAAGGATCATGTGGTAGACTTGCTCATACGCTCATACCACTGCAAATATTTACATACAGGACCAGGGTTGCTATCTTCTGTACTCCGTGTTAAATACTGGATACTATCTGCTAGACGTGCAATTAGAGCCATTATATCTAAATGCAACGTATGTTTTCGATCTAAGCCTCAACCTGGGTTCCCTATGATGGCTGACCTCCCTGAACCTCGAGTGAGAGCGGTTGTCAAAGCCTTCGTCCATACTGGATGCGATTATGCCGGCCCAGTCCTAGTAACACCATATCGTGGTAAGGGTATAAAAAGCCGTAAGGCTTACATCTGCTTGTTTACATGCCTTACTACACGAGCGGTGCATATTGAGCTCGCAAGCGATCTCAGCACAGCTTGCTTCTTGGCAGCCATGAAACGATTCCTAGCTAGACGGGGATCGGTTCAATGTTTTTATACCGATAACGGAACTAATTTTATTGGTGCCCGATCTTATCTTCGCGATTTGTACGCTTTTCTAAAGAATGAATATAAACCAGTGTGGGAAAAGCAGTTAGCAGAAAGTCGTATCCAATGGAAACTGATTCCTCCTAATGCTCCACACTTCGGTGGTTGCTGGGAAAGTAACATCAAGTGCATAAAAACCCATTTATATAGGGTCATCGGCCAACAAATTCTAACCTTTGAGGAGCTTCAAACAGTTTTAAGCCAGATTGAATCCATATTGAATTCACGACCACTTACAGTTCTCAGCTCTGATCCTTCAGATCCAGCAGCTTTGACGCCAGCTCATTTTTTACATACCGTCCCGCTTGATTTCCTGCCAGCACCTGATATCGATGATTCGATTCCGCATCTTCTAACTCGATATGAACTCTTAGACAAGTTGGTACAGTCATTCTGGATGCGATGGAGGAGAGAATATCTTCATAGCCTACAAGCCCGCCAGAAGTGGAACTCACCATCCTTCCCAGTTAAGGAAGGAACGGTTGTTGTAGTAATACAGGATAACATCACGCCCTTACATTGGCCCTTAGGCATTATAACACAAACCTTTAAAGGTAAGGACGACGTTATACGTGTAGCAATGGTAAGGACTAAGCACGGTACTTACCAAAGACCAGTGGTTAAATTGTGTCCATTACCAACTCAGTAAAATTCACAAATTATTTAGGTAAAGGGTAGATTAGCCTCTAGATAATAAGTCATAGATAAGTTAGTGGGATTAAGTAGATATAAGTAGTTAACAAACATTCTTTAGTATGTTGTAATAAGGTTCATGGAAGTGAGAATAAATTAATTTGGTCGATAAAGATGATTACACCTTTGAAAGCTTCCCTTTCAAGGCCGGGAGGAATGGTTCGGCTAGTTTAATAAGCAGCCGAAATTTCTTTGTTTATTTTGCTCTGAATACTCGCAACTGTTACACCAATGTTACTTTGGTTTGGATGTCCGTGTATTTCGCGGGTCGATGGGATTCTTGCGTACTATTGGTCCGTTAAAATTACGGACATCTTCCCGTCACGTGATCACATACTGTCAACGCCGCGCGTCGTGAGAAATGGCACGTTTTTTCGCTGCTCCCTAATATATGTTCCGCCGCAAGTTATTCCTAGAATTGGATAATCGTGAGTGACCGAAATCCGTGTAGCTGGGATCCCCGAAGAAGCGCACGAGAGCAGGACCATCCGCCTTCGTATATTCAGGTACGTCCGACCTTAGTAATATTGTCTAGTTAACGGTATCGAGTAGAATCAGCCAGCGTCTATGCAAATTACAGTCCATTTACCATTTTCAACCAACCGGTTTTTCACCCTCTTTCAGAAGAAATAATTCCATCTTCGCCCTGGAACTTGCTGTTTTTAAGGTGCTAGAGACATTTTAATCTTGCTCAGACTGACGGCCGGAATATCATCGGAATAGTGTCAGACAAGACTTGCTCTTGGATCGTTACTCACACTCGCGTGTGGCTCCAACGATGATGTGTACAAGTACTCACAGAATTTCTCAATCGCACTCAAACTCTTACGTGTCCCGGAAATGATGCTGCCACACTCAGTCTTCAGCTTCGACAGCTAAAACTTTCTGGGAGACAGATCTCTGGCAAGGACTTTGGAGGCATGGTTCTGCTCGATTGCTTCTTTAATACGAGCTGTATTAAAGTAACGTTAGTCTAGCTACATGCATTTGAATGGCATCATTGTTGGTGACGACGCACCTGCCTGTTTAGTTGCCTGTATGCTGTCAAAACGGCTGAAGACTGCAGTTTATTTCCCGTCTAATAACAATGAGAATAAGAGTGTGATCGGAGAGTTTTTTTTTTCCTCTGCGGCGCGTCTTGTGAAACTTAACTCCGGCTTGTCATCCATATCGTCCACTGCATTGCAAACTTCTAGGTACTGAAAACGGTTTTGTAATTTGAGCTGAAAGGTTTCAGCACTTTGAATTAGAGCAAGAGGGGGACGGGGCGTTGATTTCATTAGACGAGATCTTTCCAACTTAACGTTTTTGTTCAGTGTGCCTCTAAATATTCGGTAAGCGCATCCAGTTTTCACTCTCGCTATCACTGAGAAATTACTGTATAGTTCCCGTCTAGTCAGCATAATGAAGTCAATCTCATTTTTCGTCCAATCTTTGGGGCTTAACCAGGTTCACTTCCTGTAGGGCCGCTTTTGAAAGAAAGAGTTCATCATAAAGAGTCATTCTTTCTCCATAAAGTTCAGCCAGCTGCTGGCCCCTTGGGTTCCGTTGTCTTATTCTAAACTTTCCTAACTTTAGCTTACTGTTCTCTCTTGTGCCTAGTTTTGCGTTGAATCCTCCCATTAATATCGTACAGTGGGTTTTGGAGGAATGCATAGCTCTATATATATCCTCAGACATTTTCTGCACCTCCTCATTGGGATGTGCCAAGTTTGGTGCGTAAATCTGTAAGACGTTCAGCGAATACCGTTTGGTAGTTTGGAGTATATGCAATCCTAGTATACACACTTCCAATTTTTACAACGTTTTTAACGAGAGACTTGTGAACGATACCATTCGACACCACCTTTGGACAAATAGTCAGCCTCCTGGTGATAGTAAAAGTTGCTGGAATCGTGGATCGCCGTGTCCTCCATGTCTCTTCAAACCTCCAATAACCTTATAATATGCCAGCACAACTTGTCTATCTCTTCTTCCAGCTCCAGGAGCTTCTCGTCAGACTCAGGGTGCGTGCGTTATATGTAGCCAGGTCGAGACGTCTTATGTGGCAACCGAACCTCCACCGGAGATTCTTACCACCCCCTGCCCCGCCGTTACCATGGTCGCTACCGTAGCCATGAATAGCGGGATAACCGGGAGAGAAGGCCGTCTTTTCATAACTTAACAAAACGTCTTTTAATTTAACAGTGGTAGAGCCACGCGGCAGCTTTTGCTGTCGCACGGATGGGCCGGCTCGAACCGGGGTGGTACCACGACCTCACAGAATACCAGCGTGAAGTAGAGGTTACCTCTGCGTTTCGCTTGGTGAGTGCAGGTGGCCGGAGGCCCTTTTTACTGGAAATGAGGCATTCCATCTTAGTCCTCACGGGTGACAACGCGTCTACATTTTGATTTGTAATAGAGGATAGATGTAGATGTCTATGGGCCGCAGCAGCCACTTACCATCAGGTGGACTGTGTGCTCGTTTGTCACCCTTATACTATAAAAAAAAAAAAAAAAAAAAAAACTGTATTCATTCATGGGGGGTATATTTCTATATTTGTCACCCTAGACAAGCGGGTTGGAAACCGCAGTTCTTTTATTGTTATTTGCTATCAGAAAGCTGCTGCTGCTCATCTTCTGCCTCAGTCTCCCTCTATCGCCTCTTACGACACCTACGGGAAGATATGGGGTGGTGGGATTCTTACCAGCCACTATACGGGAATCTGCAACTACACAAAATTTATCTCAGTTGAATACAAAACTGTATATAACATATTTGTATAATCCAGTAAGGTTTGTCTTGAATGTGATTCTACTTTCTTTTGACTTACATATTTTTTGATTTTTTTCATATTAAAAGAGTGGAAATGAAAACAAACTAGGCTTAAAGTGGGTATTTATAAACTAGACAACATTTTTTATGAACTTGTACACACTTTACAAAAAATGTACATTTAACAAGGGAAAAAAAAATAATCAGAATAACGACATTAATTAGAATTTGGGTCTCATCAAAATGGTCATACCTTGTTAGAAAAATATAAATGAACAAATAATTGTTATTTTGGAACCTTTTACTGAAGAATTGTTGAATACAAAAAAAAATATAATAATAATTGAATTTAAAAAAAGTGATTTCAAGTTTCAAGATATAGTTTGCGACATAAACGTGTCTGAAAATCATAGTCATCGCAAAGACAAGTATTACAGATAGGCGGTGGAGCCCACTAATTAGAGTTAAGTAAGGCAAACGGTCTAAAATATTATACAGAATAAACATACTCTTTGTATAATTGAAAAAGGCGTTGGTTTGTTTTGGTACGTAAAAGTAGTTATTGCAGCCCATTGACACCAAATATGAGCAAAAAAGACCGCGAATTTTACGTTGTCACCTGAAGACCAAAGCGGAAGAATATGGAGTATGAGGTTAGTGAAATTAGATGCAGTAACAGTATTTCATGCCGGCACACCGCCTGCAACTTTACAAGGCGCAGGTTCGGCCTCACATGGAATACTGTTCCCATCTCTGGGCAGAGGCTCCCCAGTGCCAGCTCCTTCCACCTGACCGCATCCAGCGCAGAGCGGCTCGAATCGTCGACGACCGAGACCTTTCCGATCGGCTCGACTCATTGGCACTGCGAAGAGATGTTGCATCTCTTTGCATTTTCTTTCGCATCTACCATGGGGAGTGCTCTGAGGAATTGTTCGGATTAATCCCAGCCGCCAAATTTCATGAACGCACATCGCGGCAGAACTCCCGATACCATCCACACCATCTGGATGATTGGCGGTCCACCACTGTGCGATTTAGAAGATGTTTTCTTCCTCGCACGACTTCCTTGTGGAATCGATTACCATCAGCGATTTTTCCGGACCGATACGACTTAGGGACCTTCAAGAAAAGAGCCTACTCCTTTTTAAAAGGCCGGCAACGCATCTGCAATTCCCCTGGTGTTGCGGTTGTTCATGGGCGGCGGTAGTCACTTACCATCAGGTGAGCCGCATGCTCGTTTGCCCCCTCTCCTATAAAAAAAAAAAAAAAAAAAGTAAGAGCAGGTCAGTAAGTAGACTGGTTGGTGGTGTGGTTTAATGGCAGCGTTAGAGAATCCACTGCCGCATATCATCCCATGGGTGTCGTAAGAAACGATAGAGTAAAATGTAACAGTAACATCGGGAAGAACACTCCAAAAAATAAAGTAAACCTGTTTTCACCGCGCCTGGCAAGCACGGCTACGATGGTAAATATCTCCTCTATAGGGTAATCTCTGAGGAAGATCTAAGTTAAAAAAACAAATACATAACATGAAATGTACACAACAATAAATGTACGTGTACGTGGTAGAACCATGCTGCAACTATTTCAGTAGTAGAGTTGTAGCACGAATGGGTCGGGGAAGGACCACGCTCTAACAGAATACTAGCGTAAAATAGCAGGTTAACACTGCTGTGTTTCGTATGGTGAGTATAGAGAACCGGATACCCTTTTTACTGGAAAAGAGGCATTCCATCTTAGTACTCACGGGTAACTTCGCATCTGCATTTTGATTCGCAAACAAGGATAGATGTAGCTGTCTATGGGCCACTGCAACCACTTACCAGGTGGACTGTGTATTCGTTTGTCACCATATCTTATAAAAAAAAAAACTGAAAAACGCTAATAACTAAACGCAAATTCTAAAATGATTTTCTCATTCCTCCATAAAATTTCAAAGCCAGAGTTATGTAGCTTTTCTTTAAACTTACCACAGTATTTTATTCTGACGCTGAATTTTGCTCAAAGCGGCTTCAGTGATTTAATTAGAAATTTTAGATGCATTAACAAACAAAATTCGGACGATTCGTCAAATGCTGCACCTAGAAGTTATTAATCACTTTAATTACATATTATCCTCTTTATTATCCATCAAACCAAACTTTATTTTTAATGATAATTATTTATTTATAAAAACACCTTACATGTCTTAGAAAAAGAAA